TTTCATATATATATATATATATATATATAATTTAGATGCGGTTGGCATTTTTTTTTTTTTTGATAAAGAGTTGGCATATTATTTTCCTTCCGATTTGGAGAAAATCACGGCATCTTATTATGGCGGCCTAGTCCAAATGTTATAAAGTGGATAGTAAATAAATGACATGTATTAGAGTTATTTACGTATCTCATGGACTTAATATGTGTATGTCATACACACATATACACAAAAAAAATATATAAAGGAAATATACTTACGGCATATTTGTTCTCGAGAGAGTGGATATAGTTCTCGTCCCAAAGTGAAGGCCGATAGTTTCCGGACCGACGGACAACGACAGCCTCAGCCGACGTCGTTTTAGCGACGACGGGGCAAGCGAAACGGGGAGCAGCACGGGGTCGTTTCGTCATGGTTCTTAGAGGGGCATTTCTGTAAATAAGAGGAGAGCCAAGACAAAGAGAAGCCATTTTTTCTTTTATCTGAACGGTAATATATAAATGACAGCACAGTGTATCCTAATGTCGTGGTTGGGTTTAATATTTCATGGGCATTTATATGCGAGGGGAGCGGAAGCCTTATGCAACCCATTTGAATTAATTTTGTTCGTGAGTGCCACGTGGCTCGTTTTTCTTCCATGAAGCTAATCTCCCCCCCCCACCTATAGATACAACCACGTTGTAGTCCTTGCTCTCGACGTTCTCTTATGCCGATCAACCAATCACACACTTGCAATTTCGCCCAATCAATTATTATTATTATTATTATTTAAAAAACAAAGACAAATGCAGGGCGCACGTGTCTTTAAACAAATGTGGTGTTTATTCACTCTAAGTATTGGGGTGGGCGTTTTGGTTTGTTTTCTCGTAGCCGGACCGGACCGAGCGAACCGAAAATTCGGTTTGCAGCATCCTCTTTTTATAGACTTTCTGAATTGATAAGGAATTTCTTTGGTCTTATATATTTTCTCTAACCTTGATCTTGAGTATATATCTGCCAGTCCAATTTAAACTCTTTCAATTCAGAAAGCTGAGTCTTTAACCAACAGTCCAATCCTTTGCGATCCTTCTCCCGTCAGATTCCGGTGCCATAGTTTGCTCCCTTCCAATGCATGACCTCTGATCAACCATCATCCTTATCCAACAGCTCCTTCTTTTTTATTTTTGGATAATCAAATACTTTAAATCAAGGTCCAAATTAATCTCAGAACTGGAAATCAACAATGTAGTTTAGAATATAAATCATTCCTTAAATTTAAAGTTCGAACTCGAGACGAGAAAGATATTTTATGTCTTATTTCACCAGTTAAATTATCCAAATTTGTCACTACATAGATACCGAACTTTCTTTTAGTATACTCAAGGAATAATAAACTTCTTTGTTGCTGTCCAATTAAAAACCGGTTTATTTTTTGCGATCTCCAATAAAAAAAAGACCGATTTTTATATTTTGTGGTCCAATCAAAATAACGCCTTGTACTTGAAATTGGCCTTGACGAGGCCATGGTGATTTTATGAAAATGCCGCATTTAATTGGACGCTAGTAGAAGGTAGATTCGTTGTATGTTTGGTCACTTCTGACAATGAATGTTTATCTGGCAATTTTTATTTTTAGTGGTAACTTTTAGAATTTTTTTTTATTCATGCAATGCCAATCTCTTTATTCATAAAAAAAAAATTAATATGTACGAGATTTCTTGTACGCGTTAGTTTGCAAACCGAACCCGCTCAAAGTTTTCATTACATGGCAGTTGAAACTTGAAACACATTTTCACATTTGTAAACTCAAAGACAATTAATGTTTATTTAGTTTTAAAAATAATAAACCCATGTGTCGAATACACTGGTGTAGTTGTTATAACGAGAACTCAATTAATACAGCACTGACCAGAGCCCAAACCACATTGGGTAGTTTTAGATTTGTTCGTGTAATAAAAAAGGGACCCACCCCCTTGTAAGTTGTAATTTCACGAATCAGAATCACATTTTTATTTTGTTTTATTCGTCGTGTGCGTAGTAATCCTCGACCCGTCTCGGTTTTATTACATGTTAATTAGTTCTGTCTATGGCATTTCTTTCTGAAAATGAGTGAAAGAAATTATTTACCAAACAACACCATCTTGTATTTTTTTTTAAAAAATTTTTGTAGACATATAATTTGAATCACAAATTTGATTTTGATTAGAATTGTATTTCTATTGCACTATTATTTACTGGTTTTTTAACAGCCACGTTATCAATGCATCGTGATTGAAATTAAATAAGAATCTAGTTATTTGGTTAATTAATTTAACGAGTACAATATTGATGAATCGTTTATTAAAATTAATTTTCCTTAATTTTTGTCTTCTTTTGAAACATAATCGGTTGGTTCGTTAAATTAAACATTTACTGCAACTATAATTTATAAATGTGCAAACTGACTCGTTTTAATTGAGATTTTGCCCAACAATCTTTTTCCTTAAAACAATTTCTTCCATTTATGCTGTACAAAAAAAAATTATGTTTTCAATTTTAACTACATGAACAATTATCTAAACTTGGGTGGATCAGTGGTAACACAAAATACGAAACAAGTTTTTTATCCGCTTCAAATCCAAGCATGGAGAAGTCTATTCACCCAAACGTCTTTCGTTCGCTAAAAGATATAGTTGGAACAAATATACGTTAAATTTCTACATTATAAAAAAAAATACATGAACAATTAGTTTCTAGCAAAGCTACATATAATTCGTCCAACTTTGGTGATACTCAAAATGTGAGAGAGGCCTGAAAATAAGAGTGAAGAGGAAACCCTAAACCCTAGTAACGGTATTATTGGATTAGCAGTCAGGATAAAAAAGGAAATTGGTGTCAGTATATATTTGTTCATTTTAATTTAGGTAACCTTGTTGGCTCCACTGGTACGCCATCCCTTTTGTTCGGTTTTCCGGCCGATTCTTCCTCATTTTAAAATTTAGATTATTATTTTTTTTCTATTTTTAATATAGTTTGTGTACTATCCTATTTATTTTATCAATGTAAAACTAAACAAAAATCACAATATTTTTTTCTCCGCGATTTAATACAATACTGAGTAGAATTTATATAATATGTTTTGTTTAAAAAAACCAATTAATGGTATTCTTTTAGCTTTGGGAAAATATTTGTGAAACAGGTGAGTGTGTGGGCATCATGGATGGCTTTTGACTCATTGGCTTCCCCAATCCTCGTGTCTGATTACGGAATGAAACTTGTGGGGGAGTTCAGATGGATGCTGTTTGAACGAAACAATCTGGGTAATAATATATCTTGTTCTTGATCTTGGCAGGACGAAGATGAGCCGAAACGCCAACCGAACTTCAGATTTAATGAATGTCTGAAAACGGCAGTTTCATTTGCTGCTTCCGTGCAATATAACATCGATCCAAAACCAGGACATAACTTGCTTGGATTGCGTACTGGACGGAGAAGGTATATGCACGTGCGCCAGTGTGTGCGTGCGCGCGAGAGAGAGACCGGGGGGGGGG